AATATTTCGCAGTAGCTTTCAAAAACTGGTGTTATTTATTGCTTGCAAACATCTAAAATATTTGCCATGATCAAACTCCTGCTTTTAGTTTTCAACTGGACACGTAGTATTAGGGCCAATGTGGAAGGAAACTGAAGGAGACATCGAAAACTATTTGAATATTGAAACTTCTTTGAGGAAATACGTTCAGCGAGTGATGGAAAATAGACTGTGAAAACATGGCGCGGAAGGGACGCAATGACAACCCGTTAAATTTTATGTTGTGTCTTTGCTGAAAAATTTATGTCAGATGAATTTAACTGTGATTTTGTGCTATTTTAAGGACAGTCTCGGCTGCTTTTTGTAATCGCCGCCACCACCGCCGTCATTCACGTATATGTATATGTACGTATACTGTATATATATATATATATATATATATATATATATATATATATATATATATATATATATATATATATATATATATATATATATATACGGGGAAACATACGCTAGCCTCCTCTTTCTGCGGAGCGAACATCGCCTTTCCGACCGTGGTCGTCTGCGCGCGCGCTTATCTTGTGAGTGAACAAGGGGAGAGGGGGGGGCGCTTATAATTGCCAATGCTTTCGCGGCTACGATAAGCGCGCGCCTTGTGCCCGCATTACAGGCGGGAGCTTCTACGGAATGCGCTCTCAACAAGAAAAAATGGTGCCAAATGTGTACCTTAGGCGGCCATGTTCTCTTAAGGTACGTTTACAACAGCGAGACACGACACCGATTTTGGTACACCGACTGTCTTTGGGAGGGCATTTCATCTTGTCGTCATAATTACACAACGACATATATAGTCCACCGATATTGTCTCGATGACTCCGTTCATGTTTTGTCGTGCTCACAGCCTTTGGTTGGCCAAGTCCGTAGTCACACTGGAAGTACACGCAGCGACACTGACTAAACCTGCACCTCATTTTCAACCATGCTTCCTGCTCGGCCATAGTCCCTCTCCGGCTATGCGGCGCCGCCCCCGCCATAATCCACGGCGTTGAGGGATGGCAGTGGAGATAAACAAAAGTAAAGCGAAGTAGGGTGCGCAAGATGCGTAGTCAAACGCTGTGGAAGCCTCTGAAAGGGCATTATTGTCTCTCCCAAGATTTCACCCGTCCTGGTCGAGCAAAGACATGGACAAATTTTCGCTCAGCCGCAGATTTTCAAACGACACGCCGATGACAGATCTCCCGTTGCGTTTTGCTGGTGTTTTTGGTCTCTCATTAGGTTACACTACGACGACACGCTTTCTTTTGAGGCGTCATCGTCGTCGCCGGCCTAGTGTGGTCACGGGGTCTGGCGACTTAGTCCGTGGGTGACTCGTCAGCCTTAGGTCTGTGGCTGCCTCGTGGCTTTGTCAGAATCGTGTCAGTTTTGTGTCACTCTAGTGTAAACGCGCTTTTACACCAGCGTTTTGTTGAGTTATGTGAGATCGAATGTTAGCCTTTCCTTGTAAAAATTCGAATATGTTGCTATCGAATTCATTGCTTTGTTTTGGCGAAACTGTGACACGTTTTAGGCGTCTCTGGTCTTCAGTTATCATAAGCTTTTTGTGAAAAGCAGCAGCCAGCGCTATATGCGGAGGTGCAAACATCTCACAAACAACATATCTTAGAAACAACAGCCTGCCACGCACTGTGGAGGGTGCGGACTACTCGTCTTTTCTTTGCTATTTCTGCCTTATTTACCTTAAAGACTCTTGCAAGAAGCACAATACAAGGAGGAAGGAAGCAACAAAAGGGAGAAGGCAGGGAGGTTAACCAGAAAGACATCTGTTGGCTACCCTACACTGGGGGATTAGGGAAGGGGACAAGAGAGATGAAAAAAGGGAAGAGTGCGAAAAGAAAAAAAAGGGGGGAGAAACTGACAGTAATTTCACTGCAGCGTGCAGAACTCCCCCACACGTCAGGGGCAATCATACAAGCCTGTCTTTCTCAGGAAACACAGCAGGGCTTTCACTGACTTGTGGGCTATCGAGGCATGTGGACGTTGCTGTAATAGCACCTGCACAGAAAGAGGCCGATCATCCAGTCGCCACATTGCGTTGGCAAGTACTTGTCTGTCTGAGACAAATCGAGGACAGTGGCACAGCAGCTGCTTGATATTTTCGTCAGTGCCGCAAACATCGCACGCCGCACTGTCAGTAAATCCGATTAACGTGGCATAAACTTTTGTGAAAGCAATTCCCAGCCAAAGGCGATATAGAAGTGAAGTTTCACGTCGATGTAGGCCGGGTGGAGGCCGGAGTTGTAGTGAAGGGTCAAGCTCTTGCAGTCTTGTACGTCGTATGCTTGGTGTGTTCCACTCATTCATGTGAGACTGCGGGCCAGTTGACGAATCTGGCTCGCCGCGTTCGCTCTTGAAAGCGGAATCGGAACGCTGTTTGCTTCTTCTTTTTCTTTTTTTAACATATACTTAACATATATTTTAACATATATACTTAACTTCTTCTTTTTAACATATAGACACACGTAGTGATTTCCATTGGGAGGCTCTACTCTTTGTCGAACAAAAGTGAGTTCTTTACGGATATACAAAGCAACTTGACTTCGCTCAATGCACGATGAAGAAACAAATGATTCGTAGCCCGATAGTCGAGGTGTTTTTGAAAAATGCGGTTCACGGATGACGATGATGGGAAACTTATTCTCGAAGAACTGTCTAAACTCGGGCATTCTTGACTGTAGACTCCTGGCGTTCCACTGAAATATGAAAGAACGCTTGATTTTTTTCTCAGAAAGGATGATGAAGCCTACGGTGCGCCATCTTGTTACTGAAGGCTGGCAAGACTTCATCCTAGTGTGTCCATGACTTGCAGCGCGCATTTAATGGCAGGGATCTGTAGACTAGCCATGCGAGTGCAATACCACCATTGAACGACCTCAATACAGAAAAGAACTTGTACCTCTTGGGCGGATAGATTGCCTGCTGGGGGCGTAGCTGTTGTTGAATGTTGAGGCTGTGATTCCGTAGACACGTGTACCCGCGGTAAAGCGGGCCAGTCAGAGTCAGATATTCTCTTTTGTGCCACAGTGTCTTTCGGCACCTCTGGACGTACCCCACCTGGTGGTGGGGGTGGGGGAGGTCACTGCGGTAGTGGCAGCGGTGGTGGTGGAAGTGACGGAGTAAGTGAAGGCAGATTCAGCCCAAGACTGCTTTATTTTTCTTTTCTTCGAGCACCGCCGTTGACAGTAACGCCGTCATTGAACAACCGTTACCGCTTCCTTTCATGAGGATCCATCTTTCATTATTTACCTCAGAATTATCCTGTTCTTCTTGAGTACAGGGCATTATTTGGATGAGGCCTCATGGTTTCCGCTGCAGTTGTGGCATTTTAGGAGAGTTGCTTGGCAAGCCTCTGCTTTGGGGAGTCCAGCGCAACGTGGGCATGCATGCTTGTTCTTACACACAGCACTAACATGACCCAGTTTTAGACAGTTGTGGCACTGCAGTGGCCTTGGAATGTATAGTTGAACAACGGGTTGAAAGTGGCCAACCTTTACATGTAATGGGATAATCACCTCTGAAAATCACCTTGATGCAATGGAATTTACCAAGCCGACATACTTGCACTATGTCCATTGCCTCAGTGCCTAGTTTTATCAGCACATGTAGGTCGGTGTTCCGTATGGAAACATCAACGTCATAAATGACGCCCGTCGTCATGTCACTATCCTGCGCAATGTAAGCACTGAGATTGATGCATCTAAGCTCCGTGACCTTTCACAAGGTATGTAGGGCAGCCGGATGCTCAACGTCTATGGCCGAGATATTTTTCCATGGGTTGAGTCTAAATTCCTGTACCTCATTTGGCACGATAGCTTCGAGACATGCCGATATCACTTGCCTGTTTATGTTGTTCGGGTTGATCGAAGAGTCAACAGGAAGAAAAGGTATGGAATGGCGTTTAGAACTGCACGCAGCCTTCACGGTAGAGATGCTAGCTGGCGAAGACGTGCCGACCATTCTCTTTTTAGCTTTGTGCTTCACTGCCGGGATAAAATCGTCTTCACTATTCGCCGTGTAGACGCCACTAATGTCACGGATGCTGTCGACATCTCGGCTGTTACACTTCCTTCAGGTTGACGTCGAAGCTGACGCCAAGTACAGACTGCGTACTGTTGGGTCTGAATCCATCGCTACCCGCAGGAGTGCGTTGATTCTCAAGAAATGCGTAAATTCACCAATAAACCACCGCATGAAATGAGCAGCATTTGGCAGAAAAACACTTCACGCGAAATTAGAAGAAAAATTAATCACCAATGACACAGTGGAGCTCAAACCCGGGTCCACTGGGTGCCAGCCCAGCATTCTACCACTGAGCTACGCCGGTGCTTGTGATTTGTTGGCAAACTTGCCTTAGGCAGGCTTGATATCTGGAAAGCAGTCACGTTAATGTGACTTTAAAGCGCATTAAAACAGTGAAATAACAACCAGTCACCTCACAATGCTAATAGCGTAACGAGTGGGCCATGTAATGCTCCAACCCAATACAAAAGCTTCTTCTTGTTCTCCGTTGAACTGCGGCGCATACCCACTTCCACCATAATTCCTCATCGTCGGCAGCCAATGAATGAACAATTAACACAAAATTCCTTACAAGTGTTTTGCGGATACCACGCTTCTAAGAAGAATGACGAAAAATAGCATAGCGAATGCCAGCCTACTACCCCCAAAATTTTATTAATAACGCCCTAGTGGGTATCAAGCAAATGTGCTTGAAGTAGTTGCCCAACGGGTGTTTGGAAAAGACTCTGAAAGGCCGCTTTTCTAGCTTTCGCTGTGACTGTGCGGCGCCTTCCACGAAAGCCTGGCATTTTTTCTCTTACGAAGAATTGATACGTAAGATGTTTTCATGATTACGTTTGATGCCGAGGCCACACTGGCCGTCACTAGCTTTTTCAGGTGACTCTTAAGTGGCATCGGTAATTTGAATCACACTTGGAAACCAAACTCACGTAATAGAAAAATTACAAACACATTTTTACTTTATTGATGATTGTCATGGCACAAACTCGAATGGCATCGCCGAAGCACTGTTAAGTTTAACGTCAGTCATCGTCAATTCTGAGGACGACTTTCTTCCAGCACCATACTTCAACAGCACAATGTATAAAAAATACAACTCAAGCACGCACCATGTCCATCGCGTAACATCATTGTCCTTTCCACAAAACACCTTAGAACAAAGTTCGACACCATTTCACTGCACAACACACTAGCCCACTGCGTATGAACGTCCCCACTGATGTGGCCTGCTGTATGGTTCATCGCACTGCCAGCAGCGCCAGCTACAATGCTTAACAGAGTACTAGTCACCACACGAACAACTCACTGGTTGCACAGAGCAATAATCCGTAGGGTGGTGCACTGGCTTCGACACAACAAAACGATCACCTTGCACCTCCCAGAGCACATAAAGTTCTCCAACTGATTAGTGGTGAATGAAACCACTTTTTGTCCTTGGACACCTGCAGTAATTATCGCTATGCGCTTTTCGATCTGTTTGCTTCAAGCGTGGTGGCATAAGTACGTTCCACTCCTCTGACTTCCGCATTCTTCCAGAAAACAAGATGGACAGGGAATTACGGCTTCTCAACAGTTCTTGAAAACTACAGAGTGATTCTAGTCTCGGAGTCTGCACAACGCACTCACTTTAAGCATGTCACACAAAGATTTTGGAACTCGTCCATTTTTGCCATGTTCGGCAGCCTTCAAAAGATTGTCTCGAACGCAGTGTCCATCATTGAGAGGCCAGAAGTTCATTCTAAAGAAGAAGAAAGACAAAACCGCTGCTATCATTTCTTCTTTTTCCCAATCTTGAAGACAAATCTCCCATTTGGTAAATCGAAGCAGCACTTAGCCGGCGTGTCTCTAGAAGACCTCGATTTTAGTAGACTGCCGTTGTCTTCGAAAAGCAGCTGCCCACTGTCCAGTCGTCAAGGGGGAGTTCAGTTGACCATTTATTTGAATCGGGTGTAGATTTGTGTTGAAAAGTGTCATCGGATCTGTGGTGAGACGCAATGGTGAGTTAAGTGATGTCGAAGGGAGAAGGTGAGCTGGTGTGTTTTGCTGGATGGTGCGCAATCGGTCGAGGAAAATGCCCTGCTGAGCATTGAGTAGCTGCGTTGGGTGCGCCGAAAACTGTTGTGTGTTGGTGAAACCCCCACCTGTGACTGTGGGTCCTGGTTGTGTGGTAGGATTGTTGAAGGCCTGCTTTGTAGGTGGCGAACTAACAGGAGTCATTTTTTCTGGGGGCGAATGTTCCGGTTTAATGAGGCGGTGAAAAATCGCTATGGCTTTTGCGAGCTCGGCGCTGTATTCCTCTTCGCTGCTAGGCAGGGGCGGTGGTGTTGTAGGCACCCTGGGTCTCACAGTTGTGGGCCCATTGCTGTGACCGAAAAGGATGCGGAGGTGGTGCCAGCGATGAGGGCGGGAGTGTGGTGATCACGCTTGGTGGTGGTGGAGTAGCTGGAGTAAATATGTCGTGAGGCACGTACCGAACATCCTTTGAAACGGGTGCTTGAGATGTCAACTCCTGCGAACTTAGTGTTCCAGTGTGATGACCACCAGAAAATAATTCGCCCGCAGAAGGTTGCTCCGTGTGAATACTCTTTTCCGCAGAGTTTCTATGTTCTTCGTGAGATGAAGGTCTGTCAAAAGTGTGCGTATGTTTGGGTAGCTCACCGAAGCTGTTTGAAATGCCTGATGGAACCCTGCTAACGGGACGATTCGTCAAATGTTTCACATGAATAACTTCTCCTGAGTGTCCAGCAGTTGAGAAATCTGGAACTTTGCCTTCAATATCGGGTAATTCAGTTGACGTTTCTGCCGACGTTGTGGTCCTAACGTTCTGATGATTTACAAGCTGAGGTGGCACGGTGTGAACCTCCTGGTGGTCGTGGTAGGCCATGAGCGATTCGGGAAAAGCATGCTGCTCAGGGTGTCCCGTCACGGGAGGTGATCTATCAATCGTGTACGCATGATGGTCACCTTCCCCTCGAGATGCGCCATTCGGGTGACGTGTTCCGTCTTGATAGGGACGCATGCCATCTACAAGAGATGCGCTTAGCTGCTTTTGCGGTAACGGTTGAGTGTGCGATGGAACACTGGAGACAGAAGCGGGAGTGAAAGTTTTTGGTAACTCAGCAGAAGTAGGTTCATAGTGAGATAAGCCCAGGTGAACATTACTACCAATTTCTGTTTGAGCGTTCTGTGGCGTAGTAGCTTTGTGTTCCGGTGGTGTTACTGAACTCTCACGACTTAGCGTCATCTGGGTTCTTTAACGAGGACGTTCTTAAGAGAAGAGCGATGGCTCTGCGCAACTGTTCAGGTGGAATGTCTTCAAGGGTCAGGAGCACTGGAGTTTTTGTCTGTGTTGTGTGGTGTTGGTTTTGAGGCGCATGTACACCGAGGCCACTTGCAGATCCCCGGGTTTTCGGATATGCAGTCTGGGTTGTGTGCTCCTGTGGAACATGCAAAGGTTGCCTTTCCTCTTCATGTTGGGCTGTAGATCCATGATGTGATACCGTTGGCGAACCTGTCGGTTTCTGATGCACAACTGCTCCTGTGGAGACTGTTTCGATAAGAGGATCTTGCTGAAAGTTTTGAGTTATTGTCTTTTCTGGGGCCGTCACTAGCCCATCGTTTTCCGTATGACCTGTATTTCTAGAAAGCTTGTCAGTTTCGTTGGGCACCTGCGTATCGTGGGTAGGCACTGAATACTGCATTCTTTCAGGACGCTGTTGGTTCTGCCGTTCATGCGTTGAAACGATGTTGCCACCCGGAGTACTTCCAGAAGACACGCTGTGGTGCGTCGCTTTCACATAATTTCGAGTCTGAGGATCATATTCGAACAAAACAGGTGTCGTCGAAGGACGGACTTGAAGTTTTTCCTCAGGCGTTTCCCTGAAAGGCTGGCGCTGGCGCTGTGTTCCATAAGTAGACTGGGTCATTGTGGGTCTCTCACTTATCTGGTGCTGTTGCCGTGTGTCTTCAGCATTTTCCGCTGGCGTTGAAACCGCTTCAGACTTGTTTAGTCCGTGCTTTGTCGTGAAAGCGTACTCATTGGTGTACCTTGGAGTCGAAGTGTTTGCTACGTCTTGTTGTCTCTGTGTCACTGTGAATGCAACCGTGTTCGGTTCTTGAATTGCACGCAGCAGAGTTGTTTTAAGTTCTTCAGAGGATACATGACGAGTGTGTTCTTGGGACATAAATGGGGAGACTGAGGGGGCCTGATTGTGCGAGAAGTAGGAGTGAACTTCCCCTCAGAAGCGCCTCCGTATGCTTGTCTAGTTCCACCATTCGCAGTTGCCGTTCCTTGAGTTGATATGTCCGGGTCAGTTGGTTGTGGTGGTGATGCAGTCTCATGATTACCTGTGACTGGCTGCGCCGTTTCTCGAAACTGATCAACTTGCGCCTGCCCTTGACTTTGACTGCTTGTCGGAATATATGTGTGGTCTGCGTAGGAAGTTCTTGCGTGCTGCTGATGTTCCTGATTACGTTGGGTCGTTATGTAACCTCTAGATGTCGTGGGTACGAGACCTTCATTTGCCTGAGACTGTGTTGATACTGCAGGAACACTGTTAGTGCTTTCATCAACATACTGGAGCTCGTCCCCGCGGCTCGCAGGACTACTTTTTGCAGATGCATTAAACGTTGATGGTGTTCTATCTGCTGGTAATGTTTCAAGGGAACTGTGTGGCTTCTGTATACTGGATGTTGAGAATCGCGGTGGAACAGTAGGCCTATAGGGCCGGCTTTGACTCGTCTCGGTGTATAGCGGTGGACTTTGCGTTCCTGGCCGTGTCGTTCTTGACGGTGTTCTCGCTGGGAAAATTCGATGCTCATTTCCATTGCTTTGAGGAATTCCTGTGGAAATCTGCTGATCTATTGTAGTCTGCCGTGAGCCATGATCAATGTCAGATGGTCTTGGGGTAAGCGTCACGCTTATAGGCATGCCACTTGTCGTATCTTGTACTCTCAGGCTTGCATTTTCTAGCGTTACAGTGCCTTGAATCTTGAAGACCTTTTCTGGATGGCTAGAGACCTGTGCTGCTGTTAGCTCCTTTAATACCATTCTTCCAAGTCCCGTTGGTTCTTGCGATGATGTTTGTTCGTCTTGTTTTAGATCGATATTTTTATACGGGAATGATTCCTGCGAATGCGCGGATGCTTCGCTTAACGTTTTTGGCCTTGTGAGTTGCTCTCTCGGCCTAGCGGCAATCGTGACATGTTCTCTTGGTGCAGGTCTCGGTGTACCCCGTTCATATGTCGCTGATTGAGACTGTGGAGGCAGTGATGGTTTGTACGATGTGAACGCTGCCGTCGGGTAAGCTGGTGCTCGGGAATGAGAAGTGTCTTGGGACTCAGCCTTGTCGGTTGGCATCGTTATATATGTAAGTGGTTTCGAGTTATCTTGGTCATACGGTGAAGTTTGTTCCGCACCTGCATATTGCTTCAAAGTGTCTGCGCCAAGGTCTGTGTTTGCATGCGATTCTGAAGAAGTCGAAGATACCTTGCTGTTTGTGACTGCCTCCCGGTAATGGCTAGGGGATGGCCCGGAAATTGAGGGGGTGGTGTCTGTCAAGGACTGGTCAGAAGGACGAGAATTCATAGCCTGCTGAGAAGATGAAGGTTCTCTATGAGGTATACTGTACGATTGCTGCGACACTTGAGGCGTTTCGGTGATACGCTGCTTTAAAACTTGTGGCGAGTCTTGGGATGTTGGAAGAGCGGTCCTCGGCCTCGCTGTCAACGTTGTTTGCAAAGTAGCCGTATATGGCGTGTTTTTCCGTGCTTCAGCAAGAAGCGTGCTGATGGCCGTTGCGGCCTATTAGTTCGTCGTGGCTGAGTGGATTGAGGCCCCTGGAGAAACGGTAATTGCGATCCTTGAGTAGGAGCAGGAACATAGCTGCCCTTATCTGCTGCGTTAAAATGGACTACGGGCCTTTTAATAGGTCTGACTGTTTCCGTTCGAGCATGCTGTGGAGGCCGGGACGTGCGGCGTTGTGATGAGCTCGGAACAGTGCCTTGAGCCAGGCTTGAGTGTCCGTATTGCGCTGCTAGTTGCCCTCGTGGAGGACGTGTATTTTGCCTTGTTTCCGACTGTCGGTTCTGTCATTGTTACTACGCTCCCTCGTACGACAAACTCTTGTGGAGAATGGGGCTCATAGGGAGATGACTCGGTCAGTTCGCGTTCACTGTTCAGCGAATCTTCTTTCGCATGTTCCTCAGAAAAAATTGATCGTGAATGTTCTGCGAACACCGGGCGCGAGATTCCTACCGACGCTCCTTCTACTCTCTGCGTGGTCCGTGCTGCTGTGGCTCTCGCAACTGTTGAACCTGCACTTTCACCATTCTCTTGGAGCGAAGTTTCGATACCGGTGGTCTGTTTACCATGTAATTCAGACACTTGTGTGCCTGCTGGCGGCTCCTCCGTTGCTGAGACATATGGACGTCGTAGATGACTGCTTGTCATTGGCTTTGGTGCAAACCTATGTCGAGGGCCAACTGAATATTTCTTCGTTGTAATAAAGGACCTTGTACTTGTTGTCGCTCGGGTTCCCTCGGTATCCTTGGTTTGTGTATAAGTGAGCGACTTCGAGCGCTGCTCCTGGTGGTCGTCAGTGCCATGTATTGACGATGCATGATGTAAACCTAGTGAACTGGGCTCATCCTTTTCTGTGCTGTAATACAAAGATGCTCCGATAGTTTGTGCAGTTGGCCTACGGCTGATCAACATCAATAGTTGGTGTTAGTGGCTTATGTGTGTGGACTGTCATTTGGCGGTACCTCGACGTTGTGTGTGCAGGCTCACCCTGACTGGCTGATGCTGTCGAATGCACTTTTGCACCTGCCTCGTGGTTCTTTGTCGTTGCTCTAGCTTGCGCAGTCTTGGGTATCCTCCTGAATGGCTCGTCGTCGACACCTTCTGAGGAAGTTCCTTTCGATGGCTCTATATTAGATGGAAACGTGCCAAATGCGACGTTTCCTATTTTCGTCCAAGAATAAAGAGACGTGCCGAAATTTGACGCTGATTTTCGTGTCGGAGAGGTCAAATTTCGTGTTCTTTGCCGAGTCCGCTCAAATATCTCCGTAGGAGAAGGTGGACTCCTGTAGGACAACGGAGGTCGCTGCTTGTCTTGTGGCTGGACTGTATATTCTGGGTCATTCGCCTTCAACTTACCGGTGTTGTTAGGCCGCCTACTCAAGGCTCTAGGTGTTCCTTGTCCTTCTACTCCGGTTACAGTATCCACCATCGGTAATCTCGCAGGGTAGTTACGTTCTAGTAAAGTCGAAACACCTGAGACAGCGTTTTGCGTTGGTTGTCTTGTAGTAGTTACGGTTGGCCTGCCGCTCGACTTTGTTCTTCCTGGTGACAGCGAATCTTCGGAGTCATATTCAACGCTACTAGTCACATCTTCATTGTTTAAGTAAGCCTCTTCGGTAGGCCTTATTCTTTTTGTAGTAGTAACCAATGAAGCAGTTGGAGGCGAGGGTGATGGGGGAGCCTGTGTTGGCGTTTCTTGAACCGGTTGATCATGTGGTCGACTTTCGGGGGGAGATGGAAAGTGTGTGCTTAAATCTGCACCTGGTGCATCTGGCAAACTTTTTTCAGACCCAGACAATCTCGAACTGGTCTCCGGGTCGGTGAAATATGACGTGGACGCCTCGAACTCCTGTAGTCTTACTGGAAAATATAGAAGCGGGAAATGTGTCTTGAAGTGACATACTGACCATACGGTGTGACTGCGGCCTTCCATTGGAAGGCTCTGGCATGTAGAACACCTTCTCTGGCACCTGTCTGTTAGGTGCAGTATTGACGCCCCCTTTGTTATCAGAGGGAGGAGTCATTGTCTTGTATTCACCAGTAACTGTGATTATACCTTTGGTAGTTCGTGCGGTTTTAGAACGCTGTGAAATGCTCTGCGTATCGTCATCTGCTATGGCGTATCCACTATTAGTCGTATGACTGAGTGTTGTGCTGTGCTGTGCCAATAGTTTGGGCATGGTTTGTTGATAACGTCCCCTTCTCGCGACCAGTTGATTGCTCATATTGAGTAACACCGGGTGATGAGACTGTCATTTGGGTCCTGAACACGGGAGCATTTGTGGGATATGGGGTCGACGGGCGTTGCTGGGCCTGCCACGTTGCCACCGTTTTGTTTTTGTCCAGTACAATAGTAGTATACCTCGCCGGCCCTCTTTGTCCACTGACATTCATGGTGTCGGTCCTAAGGGTCATTTCCAGAGGACCACCCGTCAGCCCATTTTCCAGTGCTAGAAATCGGTGGTATTCTGGTAGCGGCAGAGACGTCGTCAAAAGTGGCTGGTGTCAGGAATGCGCGCATCGTTCTGCGTTACGTCACGATTCGCACTCGTCGTAGTCGTTTGGTTCTGGGGGACTCCACTGTCGTAAACAAACGAGACTGGTCCGTTCTTGAGCGCCACCATGGTGAACGACTTCAACCGGCTCTTCTGATCGTGTATGGGGCGGTAGTGCTGTGGGAGCGGGTGTCAGCTCTCGGAATGGCCGTCACCGGGTAGCTGTAGTTCAGCGGGTCTTCGAGTTGGGTGTTTTCGAGGAACTCTGGCTCGTCGTCGACGGAGGTGCGACGCTGAATCACCGTGGTGCCAACCGGACTGCTTCCTGCGGACGTGTACGCCCGCCTCTCGAGTGGTAGCTCCTGGAAATTGGAAGGTCCATTAGTGTGCGAGTTTGTGTTGAAGTCCACTGGCTTGTGGCGTGCATTCTTCATTTGAGAGAGTTCGTATTGCTTGGTAGAGAGTGCGATAGTAGTCCGCTATCGACTGTTTAGGGGAAGCCTCCGTTTCTTGAACTGCCGCGTTCTTGCCTTGCGCAACGAAGGGATCCAGGTTGTTAAAGTTGGGAGCCGACTAGTGAGTTGTCGGTCGTGTCGACGTCGTATTCGTCTTCGAGGTTTGGCTTTACGTTGCTATAAAAGTCGCTGTGGCTGGGCCTAGACTTGTCGTATTCGACGCCGGACGGGTAGTAGGAGCGGACCTTGCGAACCAGCGTGATGTTTACGACTGTCGTTTGACCTTCGACGATCTGGACGGGCACCTCAGCGTCGTTGTGTTCAGGAGACGATGCCTGGAAACACCAGAACAGTGCATCAATATACGAATTGAGGTAACAGATTGCTAAATCTACGAATTGGCTTTGTTAGTCAACTCAACATCGCTGGTTACGATTTTAACAAAACTGTTGTAAAATACAGTAGCGAATACTGACATAGGTCTGTTAATTGTGCTTTCCCATAGTATGTAGTGTTAAGGAAAGACATGAAGGATGTATCTAGTTGTGTCCGAGTATTATGACAATTTCTGGTGCTATTATCGCATGTTCCTAGCTGCACCTTATTTTATCGCTCAAGTTGACACCACTTGCCTAGTGTGGATATAATGACAGTGAGTTTAAAGCACCAAACGTTAGCATAAGTACCAAGTGAGGCTTCGTGATAGTTCTTTAGTATTTCGTTGCGTGTGAGATACTCTTTGATGCTCACTTACTTGCACCTGGTGATGTCACTGATGCGGTAGCTAAGCTGAGCGTTACTAGAATGATGTGTAGTGTAAGTTTTCGATTGAATTCATGTGGCACTAGTAATCAAATAAAATGTATGTTGCATTTCACCGTTACCGCGCCAATTTTAGAGATTAGCTAATACCGTTATACGACCAAATATTAGAAAATTAACGCCGACGTAGGAAATTTTCCAGCCGTCTCCGTAAGAATCGCAGTTATGACAGTGAAAACATGACTATGAATATTTCGCTAAGGCATTCCTTAATAATTTCAGAAACATCGTTATCGATTTCAGAACCCGTGCTCACCATCAGTGTATACGTGCCAGGCAGCAAGATCCTCCAGTACTCGCCTTTGGGGCTTGTTCTGAATGGCATGTATCGTCCTTTGATCATGAGCCTGACGTTTGTCACGGGGTACCCTTCATCATCCGTGATGATTCCTCGCAGACCTGCAGTCATAAAGCAAGAAAGTGAAACGATGTTCCTGCGAATTGCGTAGAAGACAACAATACAGTTCCTGAGAGTGCCATGCAGTAGTGTTGGCCAGCGAGCATGTAAATATTGGTCGAATGCCTATCAAGGGGTTCGATGGCGTCCTATCACAATCGTTCCCTTACTAATTAAAGTAAACGAGATTGATCTTTCTTTTTAGGAATCGGTGTAACACGAAAGGGACACGTGTCTTCGCAGAGGTAGTTGAGAATTCATTCTGCATAGTTTCGCTGCATATATGAATGAATTAATGCTGCAGTAATGAACTGCAATGTGATGCAAAGAACGGCAAGCAGCTCGAAAATTACGGCGCACACCTCAAGCAGAAAACACGCACGAAATGACCGCACACAGAACGAGCGCGGGCAAACGACTCTCACGATCTTACGTCGTGTGTGAGTAGTGAACTCCTTTCCTAAACGCGGCCGCGGCAGCGAGTAAATTGAAGCTCACGCTCCGTTTAACTACTGTAACTTCAAAGCAAACTTGCGGTGGAAGCACAAAACCTACAAAGCACCCGAATCCGTAGATAGGCGCGTGGGCTAGCTGGCCACCACGCTAGAGAACTTCTATACGCACTTTGACCACGCCATGTGGAGGCGCGCGCGCACAGTGACGCGTAAAGTGGCGCGGCGCGACGACTTTATAGCACGCGCGCGCGCCCAACACGGGCCCGTCGTACCTCACAGTTACTAATTACCAAAACGCGCTGATGTATCCGAGCTCTGAGGACCGCCAGTGATACTCGGTGTATGTAAACGGCTCGCCGTTGACATGTTAAAGAAGGGTGTCTATGTAGTGTATTTGGTAACGCCGAGTGCAGATGAGCGCGAAATTGGTGGTTCGACGCCACGCTGCAAAACTTGTCTTTCTCGTCTTTTTTTCTCTTTCCAATCTGTTAGTAAACATTTTACAACATCATATTCGTGACGGAAATACGTCATTGTGCTGTGGTGGACACCGGCACAAAAGACTTTCGTGTTAAAATTTTAAGCTTTGGCATTTTCCTTCAATCGTATATTTGTGCAAGCCAACTGATAAAGAGTTTTCACGTAGGAATAGCGAGCATGTTATAGAACAATATTATTAACATGCTAATGAGAACTAGACTATATGAAGGACTATTCGTTGCATCTGGACATAACCAAAAGACAGAGGCAGTGATTGTGTCATTGATGATACAGGCATCAGGCAGTAATGCTGATCGCTGCCATAAATCTATTACCTTGAAGACATTCAGATAAATCAAAACATAACCCGTCCGGACCAGGGTTGCACTATAATAGTTGGCTAGCGCTGTTGTTTTCGTCGTTTAGGTTTCATGCTATCGATGAGACATTGCATCTTACAAGATAACAACATATTATGCTAACGGCCAGACCTTCTGTCAAAAACGCTCATAACACAACGCAATGTAAGAATAGTGTTAGTAATTTCGCATTAAAGAGTTCGCTTAAGGTCACTGGCTGTCCTTCGCTTGTGCGCATAAACGGCGACCGATACATGGAAGTTCTTGCAAAACCACATATAGTGTCTTAAACGTACGACGTCAGTAACATATGTTGAAGGAGCAAGAATATATACAAAATCGCGTGAGCGCACAGATATCCTTCAACTTAGTGTCGTGGTACCGTGTGTATTTTCACGGGCCTGAAGTGACTTCACATTTATGAACGAAGTTGATTTCCTGCATCTACGCGGAAAAACGTAATTCTGGCAGAAATTCAGCAATATGCTCACTTGATGGAACTTCGAGTTGAGTACGCCGAGCTCAAAGCTGGCTCAACGGTCTTTTGTGTTTCGAAGTCTATTCGGAATTGGAGAACAACCAAAATAATGTTATTACAAAAGCTAAAGCACATGCTTCCGTCGCTCCTAAGTTTCGATATTCTCCTTACAGTTCTCGGTTAAAGCAATAAGAAAACAAACAATTCCTCACCTCTGTGCGATTCTTCAAGCAACTTCATGAGAGGCTTCCTGTTGTCCGTCCAGAAACGCTTCAGCTGATACGACAGTGGGTGCTTGCAGCACGACAGCTCTAGAGTCACCTCCATGCAGCCTCCTTGCACGTACGTGTAGTCCGGCATGCTGCCTGCGTGCGTTTGCTTTAAATGATTTGCAAACTAGATCTGGCGAATTAAACCATTCCATCGAAGAATATATGAAATAAACGTGCATGGTGGTGGACCAAGGACCCTTGTTCATACACAAGACTTAAACCCTTACAGCGCAGCTGTTTGAGGGGAAGTTGCCGTGCGAATAAAACTCGGCCTGTGTCGTACGAATGAAACTCGGTTGGCATGCGCCACAGAATGAGAGTATGTGTCAAGCAGCTCCTAGAATAGGGTAGCTATGTATAGTATAGTATAACAAAGAGGATGGGGAAGGAAAGCGAGAATGGGGAAGAAAAAACTAACGTTAGGGTCAGGATGCGGGTAAAGAGGAAAAAAAAGGTAAAGTGAGAGGGTAGACCATAACATAACCATGTAGGGCATAGTGTGGAGTGGTCACGACGTTGAAAAGGGCAGCGATCAGTGAGTTTAAGAGGAAACTCCTTGTTTGGATGAACTTGTGGTAGAAGAAATTAAAATTCAAAGACCGTCTACCTAAGCAGCGTCTGTTGAGCCTGTAACAAAGCTCATCAGTGGGATGCATTCAAGATGAGGGCAACTTTTCGGTTAAGGAATCATTGGTCGACCAACCTAAGTACACTGGTTCTTATCCTTTCCTTGGTCTCACGATGTGCCAACGTTGATGAGAAATTAATTTGGACGCAGTGAATGAGTGACACAACCTTATTAGTTGTCCTGAATACTGATGGCCTGCGGGGGCAAGACATTTACAGGTCGGTCAGGTAACGCTAGCGAGAACACAGGCGAAGGGCATATGCCGTATCATTTCACTTGACGCTCAATAAAGTACTATAAGGTTACCATTTGCATAGCATTTAACCTTTCTGCATCTTTCTAGGTGTTGCACTACTACCGTGATGGGCCCGACTTCGAACAAGCAATGATGGGATATGATGACGTTGTGATGACGGCGGGATATCACCTGACATTTTGCTCTTCCCTCCACTACGGCGTCTCTCTCTCATAATCATATGGTGGTTTTAGGACGTTAAACCCCACATATCAATCAATCAATTATTTTGCTCTTAGGATCACTTGACGTATCTGTTATGCCACGTGCCTCTTTGTTTCATTAATGCTCACGCCGCCTCTAACGCGGGATCTTTTTTTTTTTTTACATGTGAGACGTGACGCTTTGACTTTACAACAAAAAATGAAATGAAGAGGCTTTGATAAAAGTGGCGTATATACTCGCCCTTGAATGGGTACCACCTTGGCGCCGTTGACGATGCCGTCGTGGAAGGTCTGGCGCTCACATGAGAACTGTCGCATGGTCGGGTGGTTGAAGGAGTAGGTACGCGCCAGGTGCTGGAACACGTCGTCATCGGGCGTCTTCGACTCCACGGTGTCTGCGGTCCAATGTAAAAGCATATAAGTACTCATCACGTACGAAGTTGAGACGTTCCACTCATTAGCTTTATGCAAGTGTTTCACATTTCGGGTATTAGGCACAAGGGTACATAGAATGCAACGAAAAAAGATATTGAGAAGGGAAGAAACAGTTTTTATGGTAAGAAAGTTGACAAGTGGGCTTTGCCGCATGTTCCTTTTTCTTGCTGCTCACCGTTGGGGAAGGAGATGTTAGAAAAAGAGCACAGTGAAGGTGTTGGTGAGACAGAAACTCATTTGTTCAAAGACTATTTATGGTATCTTGTTCAGTTCATCCTCTTGCACGAATTAGTTAAGAGCTCTAACAATCTTGAGCTGACGACGAAGATCAGGTGAAGATCGCAACACAACTTTTTTTGATAACTGCTGCTTTGCGAAATTCAACATGGTCTTCAGGCGATTTTGTTTGCCCAGCATATCGTGGGCAGGTGAGCAATTGGTCTGCAGTGGCATCCATAGGGCGACATTCTTTATTTTCGTGACCTCGATCTAGACATGCACGTGGGAATAACACCAACCACAAGGTGCAGTGCAAGCTTACTGCACAGATTATGACTCGGTATGCCTTTCACTCATCGTTAACTACACTTTATCTACGCTAAAGACAGCACGAACTGAGAGGAAAAATAGTTAACAAAGTACGTAGAATACGCTAAAAAGAAACACAAATATTTTTCTGCCTACCTGTTATACATGCTATGTGAGAGATAACATATCACAATTTTTGGCTCAATATTTAACAGTCCATTTATATTTCGGTCTGCGATAAAGGTTGCCGTTAATGCACTGTCACACTCTATGCTTGTCACTTTTTGTTTATGTCATATGAAGAAAACAGCACACAATTTACAGCAGAATCTAATACAGTGCATCGTATTCATAGATACAGTTGAGATTCAAGAAGTCAAGTTGAGCTTTTGAAAGGGTCGCTGCGTTAGCGCGGGTCGTGTAAATACGTGTAACAAAACCTTAAAGGAGGGTACATGCATAACAAGATTTAAATAATACACAATATGTGACAAAAAGATTGACTGTATATTTTCCCGAGTTTCAAAAATGTGACGTCTGCTTCTGATTTTCTGCTCTTTGTTCGTCACTGCCTGCCCATCTCTGTCTGCAATTTCTTCCTGATAGTCGATCTTCTTCGAATGAACCTATAGCTAAGTATGCTAAACACGCAACAGTGTTCATTCGAATACCGCGCGTCTGAGGCTCACTCACTCTGTCCGTACGTGTCGTCATACGGGTACCGAACCAGCATGGCGCCCCCGTGCAAGTTGCCCGAGAGCACGAAAGGGATGGTGTCGATCCACTTGCGCACCGCCGCCGTCTCCGGCTCCTCCACGTTGCGCACCGTGTGACTCGGGTCCGGGAAGTTGCGATTCAGGTCCACGCCCGCACTGTTGTACCTGCGGTGCCAGGGAGTTTGATATTAGGGGCGAAGATCCTTAGGTCCCCACGATATTCGAGAAGTCGTCGAGGGTAGCCGGCGTCCTTAGTCGAAGTGCCGGGGCAAAACATTTGTGCATAGTATCGTCTATGCAGAACCAGCACATGGCGGGAGATTTCAACGTCGTCTCTGTCAGCGATAGGTTCGTCCACCACGTGGGAGAAGTGTATAATCTGGAACTCGTTTTTCAAAGGAAACACGCCACAGTCGACAGGGGTCACGCATAGGCTTCGTCTTTGCTAACTTTTCTCTGCAACTTCTTCCTTTCTCTCAACTACTTCTTCTGCAGCTCCTCGACCTCGCCTTCAGCCACCAAGCCGTTATTCTAAAGAGCAGCGTTAATCTGAGACTTCATCAGCAACAACAATAGGCATCGTGGTCGTTTTTTGAATAGTAATTTTACTCATAATTCCCGATCTGATGCATAGTGATAGCATTCACTTCGTGGATATGCAGTGGTTCTTCCGTATGGTGTGGCGTCTAAGCGCAGCGGTTTTTGCGTTGCAGTCACTTGCGTTGGAGCGTCACTCTAAAGCGTCTATCAGCCTGGTAATTATCTGCTGGCTTTGAGAATACAATATAATAACAACCAATAGGTGACCAAGCGAGTGAAAGTACAGGTTGCAGGTTCGATACCGGCCGGCGGCAAGTTGTCTTTTCGTCCACTTCATTTTCTCCACATTTCTATCGTAATTACTATAAAAGACGTCACTTTTACTTTTTTGGCTTGTTTGTCTGTTTAAAGTCATACCTGGGAATGCAGAGAGATATGGCTGCATAGCTCTTTGTTGGTTCGCCTTAATGTTGAGTTTAACCCCCCGTCCCCCCCAAAAAAGATACCCTTAATGTCTACTTTTCTCGTGAGATTGAGCATGCAAGGTGCCAATTTCCTGACCGTCATTTCCTGACCACAGGACCTTGTTACGACACAAATGCGCGAAATTCAACGGAGGCAAAATGTTAGAGGCCCGTGTACTGTATTTGGTGCGCATTAAAGAACTCCAGGTGGTCGAAAGAGCCGGAGTTGCATCGAGAGAATAAATTCCATGAACCAACCGACCAGCATCCGCACAGCATAACTAGCTATCTCGACGCTTGTTGTGAAGGAACATGTGCTCATTTCGTTAATAAAATAAAAAGGACATATTTTGAACTATATCTTATACAGAAGGCAGTTGGGCAAATTTAGGAATATCAGACAGCTTGAGATTATTGCGAGCTCTAATGCTTGACTCATGCTTGCGTTTATATACCTGTAGTGCTACGTTTTTTTTTTTTTTTACATAATCACGCATGCAAGCTTTCTCGTAGACGTCACATTACACCAGTTCCCATGTTATTGAAGAAGTCCGATAAAACAACGAGATTGGTGCACTCGTCCGACATATAATTTAGAATGCCACGACTTGCTTCTATATTTCTCATAATACCTGACAACTTTTCATCTCTATAGGTCGCATCAAATCAAGCTAATGTCAGCGTCAATGTCAACGGGAAACGGGTAAGGTGATGGGGCGGGGGGCGCTTAGGCCATGGAAGGGTGTGGCGAGGGAGGCTTTGGAAAAAATCCCCGCGTGATCAACTGGCTCCTTTAGCGGCGGCTGCATTTACGATGGAGGCGGAAATGTTGTAGACCCGTGTGCTCCGATTTGGGTGCGCGTTAAAGAACCCCAGGTGATCGAAATTTCCGGAGCCCTCCACTACGGCGTCTCTCATATTCATATGGTGGTTTTGGGACGTTAAACCCCACATATCAATCAATCAGCTGGCTCCTTTACGGCCTTCGCCAAGTTGGCAAAGACGAGGTCAATGCATGACCTCGTGTTGGTTGTGGCATGTTTCCCCTGATGAACGCAAGTGCGTAGAACAGGACATGTGTGTAAAGAACAGGAGGCCGTAAAGACAGCAAGACGTATAGCGAACGTATATGGTCATAGTGACTCACCGACCACGCAGGCCCACGCACTGTCCTTCTCTTGAGATGGACATGCCGTCGGGGTTCATACTGGGCATGATGTGGACGTTAGTGTTGTCCAGCAGCCACCGGATGCGCGGGTCGATGTCGTATCCGTTGATCAGGTGGGCTATCAGCTGAAGCATGAGCTCCTTGCCCACAACCTGCATGCGTGTACGTATATTGAGAGGAAGATAACAAGGGCCAAGTTGAATGACAAAAAAAGCTGATGTATTGGTGAGAGACGTCTGGAAGCCTGTCCAAAAGTCTCGAATGGCAGCATCGTAAGCATTTGGGGTACCATGTAATCAGCCGCCTGCCAACGTTCGCTACTCGAACGCTCACTTTTCGAACAACCTCGAACACGCCCTCGAAAATGACGAAAGTTGCGTTGAGATTTTTCTGTTATGGCTTTCTGGCAAGAGTGGGCTCGTGCAATGAAACATGGAATGTTCTCGCATTACAGTACAGATGATTTGGAGCACTGTCTTCTAGCTCACCGTAGTACTATCATGTTCTGTCTTACCTAGTGTGTTTTAGAATAGACGGCGAACGCTTTAAAGCGCTATGTACACTCGTTATTATAGCAGAGCTGTAAGTTGTCTCAGTCACAATGAGACGCGTGTAAGTTGGACAAGCCTTATGGATGCTTTCATTGTTTACAAACACAAGCTCATGATGACATACGGTTTTGTCCACCGATGTACCGTATAGCATCGGTGGGCAAGAAGAGCTTTAAAAATAGTCCGTTCATTTTCTACACTTTTGTTCCCTTATTTGGCGAAATATATTTGAAAAAATGTTCTTTTTAGCTACATGAAATTGAACTTTACGCACACTCTTAATTTCTGAAAAACTAAAAACAGGCTTTCCTTACCCTTGAAAAACACTTGAATGCGTGCCTTCAGTTTTGTCGTTAAGAGCTGGTAAACGAGGTGACAGGAAGTTTTTCGTGGTACAACGCTTGCGATATTGAAACCCTCTGTTTAGCAAAAGTGGTACTGGTTTAGCGTACTGGGTACTCTATTATGGCAAAGCATGAATCCATCCCGCGAGGCCTCACACTTGATGTTTTTAGAAAAGGGGGTTAAGATATAGAGTACTAGTTACTCTACTAAGGGAGAGCTTAAAGCCATCCCGTAAAGGATTTAGAATATTTGATACCATACAAACAACACAAAGCGGAGGAGCGTTTTCCTCGTACTCCTAAGGAGTGATGTGTGTTTAGAAAAAGTGGTTGACGATTTGGAGTACTTAGTACTCTATAATGTGAGAGCTGAAAACCGTCCCGTGGACCTGCTTACCGAGCAGTAAGCGGAAGAGGTGTGAATTTTGTGTTTAGAAAAAAAAAATGAGCATTTTCCATGTACAGGGGGAATCGGTGATATGCGAAGCACGAATGAGAAATGTTGATATGTCACTTTAAAATAACCGCAACGTTACGAGGTGGAGGTAAATGATGCCGTACGTGACTTCCGTGTCATGGTTATCATGTTTGAATGTGCCGTTTACCTTCGTCATCTATTCACGTCCCGTGACACCAAATTTAGTGTTTGTGGAGCTATCAAAACGGCTGCGAGCACGCTATGAGCGTGGTATGTTGTCATGTTCTTACATGAAGCGCACGTCAGGATTGTCATGTTTGCACCAGTCATGTATTTCGTCATCCATCGACATCACGTAACACCAAAATTTGTATATGTAGAGCTAGCAAAACGGCCGCGAGCACATCACGAAGGGCACAGTATACTACAATGTAGCGTTGACGCGTGCGCATTGGCAGAGCGACGCTACGTTAGCAAAACGCGAGCACTCTTTAGTCTGACGCCAGACGCGACCAGCGTCCGTCGGCGCGGCCCGACGGCAACCAGCGCGAAATGCGACATGCTGCATTTCGCGCCGATGCGTTACCCATCAACACTGCGTCTCCCTCTTTTCGTGATGGAGGGACGCTGGATGCACTGAAACGCGCATGCGTCGAAGCAAAGCAGTGCGGCGCGTGCCTGCGAGTATATGGCAGGACCGGCGCCTGGCGTGGCAACGCCGGCGAGCACGCGCACCGCGTCACGTCTAAGTGTATTGGCACCTTGACTGTGGAGTGTAGTCATGTTCTCACATGACAAGCATCTCATGATTATCATGTTTGTCCCAGTCACATACCTTCATCATTTATTGGCGTCACTTAATGCCAAATTTGGCATATGTGAAGCTAGCGAGACGGCCGCGAGCGCATCTAGAGTGTGGCATGCAGCTATGTTGTTACATGACACGCATGTCGTGATTATCATGTTTGGATGTGTCATTCACCTACGTCGTCCGTTCGCGTCACGTAATACCGAGTTTGGTACATGTGAAGCTAGCGAAGTGGCCGTGAGCACATCATGAGCGTAGCATGCAGTGATGTTCTCGCATGACACGCATCTTATGTTTATCATGTTTGAACCAGTATCATACCTTCGTCATTCATTCACGTCCCGTAATACCAAATTTGGTATAAGTGAAGCTAGCGAAATGGCCGCCAGCGCATCATATAGCGTGGAGTGTAGTCAAGCTATTTCCTGACACGCATCTGATTATTATCATGTCTGCACCAGTCACATACCTTCGTCATCCATTCACGTCCCGTGATACCACATTTGGTATAAGTGAAGCTAGCGAAACGGCCGCCAGCGCGTCTCGAGCGTAGCATGTAGTCATGTTGTTACATGACACGCATGTCATGATTTTCATGTTAGGGTCTGTCGCTTGCGCTCGCCATGCAATCATGCCATACTATACTAGTTTGGCAACATGCCATGTGAACTAGACCACCGTAAGAACTGCAGGACAATAAAATGTAAATCATGTCATTCATAACATCCATCTTTTCATTTTCATAGTATGACTAGTTAAGTATGCTCTTCATACAGTCATGTTATGACATACCAATTTTGGTATCGATACGATTATCGAAACGGCCAGGAGAGCTAAAAGTCTTAGGCGGCTAGATAGATAGATACGCTCAAAGTCGCCGAAGTTCACTAAGAAATACTTCGCATTTAAAAATGTTCTACAATTTCGAGTACTTCGTACTCAACTATGGGAGAGCACTGAGCCGTCCCGCTAAAAGCGCTCCATCTACAGAACGTAACTGCATCGATTGCACGGAGTCAAGTAAATGAAGGAACACATAATTTCATACATCCCGGAAAGCCTCTGTTCTTGGTCTGGTTTTATTGTAGCGTTTTATGGTTAGTCATAATAGCTTTACATATAACGTCCTCAACAAAAAATACAAGAAAGAATAATTACATTTCCATGTCATCCGTTAGCCCAATCTGTGCACTGTGCGGAACCCGCCTGTGATTCGGCCATTGAAATGCCTACAAGAATTTGTCACCAATCAAGGAGTAGGTTCAACCTGATTCTTTTTAAACCCTCCATATTTAAAATAGGTTTAGACAAAATAAAACAATTAAGTAATAACCCAGGAGGTTTCAAAAATTGCTGGAGTCAAAATTTCTTCCCACGTCTGAAGTGGTCCGTGCCAACAGTAAGATGGCGGCTGGGGCAGCCATTTTACTTGGGCATGATGAGCTGTTGCCGTTTGGTGATTGGGAAGGAGCGTTTTCTTCGCACGCTCAACAAGTTTAACATGACAACCTTTTCGGGTTAGATAGTGTTCAAAGTGCGTCCTTGTGTTACTAGTTTTCCTTAGTAAGCATCGATGTAAAGGCAAATTTATTTGGAGATTAAGTCACCGACACTGCTAGTCTCGGCGGATTATTTCTTCGAAACAACTATTTTTGAATTTATGATTAACGAAGCCTTTAGACTAACAAATCAAAGCCACTTGATGTCTAAGTGGTCACCACCAAAAATGGCATGTTTCTGAGATGTTTGGAGGGCAAATGCTGGCTTCACTACTGCTGGCAAAGCATTGCGGGAGCTTCCAATCCAGTAAAATTTTTTAAACCTCCTTAATAATAACTAAATAATTAATGAAAAACGTTTATCATATATACACATGTGGTGGCCTAACCGGATGTTACGTGCATACAAGTGACACGCACGGACTACCCAAGCCTAAAATTTGCAGTGACACCATTGGGTTCCGATGCTTTACATGTGTGATGAGTGTCGCACCACTACTAGAGCACAGTTGTTCAACAGGTGTTCATCGAAGTCAGTGGTCAAGGCAGCACTGTATCATGAAATATCTAACACTATGGCCTAGACTATTCGTCAGTTTTTGACACAGCCAATATTAGTTATGATTTCGCAAACAGTAGCGACAATTGGTGATTATTTATGCTACACTATAGCTCTTGGGGTATCGATGCTTGTAGCTGGCAACTGCACAGTACTGCTTTACTCCTGCAGCAATACGGTATTTTCATATAATAACCAAAGTAAGGGCTCATGCACCGCTAGAAACTGCAGCACGTCGCCTTGAGAACAAGCTGTTTTATTTCTCTTTTTGTGTGGGGGCTGAGGTGGTATAACTTGCCCTAGAATGCTCTAACCTTTATTAAAATATTGACGTAACTTGCCCTGGGAGCGCAATGCTCAAGAGAAAAATAAGCTGGTGAGCAGCTTCGCAATAGTGGGGCCAAGCCTGATGGCAATGTGGAACTTGGCGGCCTTCTATGCTTCTAAGCAGATTTACAGCAACGCTATATACTTCAAACTGGTCGGAAAAGTGTGTGGCGTTAACACAAAACGCCTGTTTAAAGGGCCCTTACATCAGCAGGAGATTCTCGCACGCTCCTCTGCTAGAAGATGCGTGCCATCTTTGCGTTTTCGTCCCGGTTGCTGAAGAAGGGCATTCGGTGAGGTGGAAAGACAAGCCCATGAACGAGTTTGCTGAAGAATAGAGTGCCTTTATCCAGCGGTAGTTCCAGTGCACTACTACAACACCACAACTAAACTTCGACCTCTTAGCAGCTCAAGGTTTCTTTGCAATCAAGCATGAAACTTAGAGCTCAACAGTCGTTTCAAAGAAGAAAACCCCAAAACGAGCACCAAATCCGCATTATGGATGATAGTGCGTCTTTCAAAAACGGGAACATCCTCTCATGCGTTTCAGATTATGTTGCAGCTGCCTTGAACTTCACACAAAGGCTTAGAATGACGTCCAACGGCGCCTTCTTCTCCCCACGCGTTTATACCGTTTTCATAAAGACAAAGGGGAGGCCCTTGTCATGACTGCCATGGGTAGATTGCGGAAATTATTGACACCAGAAGAACAGAGTGAGGCTCGATGAAGGCAACAAGGTCGTCTAGTTAAATATGGTCGCCGTATGCCACTGCGACTGGTCTGCCACAGCGACCACAAATGTCGATGTGGCAGACTTTTGGCAGGTAATGTGGTCACGTCTGCCACAACGACCGCAAAGTGATTATCACCCGCATTATTCTAAAGTAATGACAGAGCATACCCCTTTTCCTTCCTGTATACAGCATGTGTGGCGTTTGAAACAGCCTTGCTAAACATTTGCGATCGCAGGGTGGGATGGCGGCCAACTTTTTAAGGCTATAGTCTTAGATGCCTCATCAAGCGCGAAAAGTGATCGTCGGCAACCCGCGGCGTCGGGGACGATAAAGGGAGTAGGGTTTTCACATCTCCGGTTTTAGACCAACAGGTCTAAACCAACCGGCTCGGCTGGCTTCTTGGCCAGCGAGCTGGTTGCCGGTCCACACCCGCCGTCATTGACCAGTTTTTATTTGAGAGCAGTGAAGGAAGTGTCATTTTTACTACAGGTATTTTTATGCCGGCAGTTAGACAAGTACAGTGTGCAGTTTTTGTTTGCGCATCTGGTTTACTTGCTCAAGGAAAGCAACGTTACATTAAATGGCACTGGACGCCAGTAAACTGGCATGGCATCTATTGTTCAGCAATAATTTAGTCTCCTGGTAGCTCATCAACCCCCCCCCCCCCCTCAACATTCGAAGGACTGGCTTTTTGTTTGAGAAAAGATGGCTACCCTACAGAAAAGGCAGAAAATATTTGATTGATGACGTCACTATATGACGTCACGATGCCGTTGCAGGTTGCCGATATTAGTGACGGTAGTATGAAGTCATCATGACGCCACTGGGAGGTCACGAGACGTATAGTCACTTGATGACGTCATAACGTGCCATCTTAACTTGGTCAAAGGTGGTTCGATTGCGGAGGCAATGCAAAAGCAGGTCAGGTGCCTCCAAACTTGGCATTGCGGAACTACGTAAGGTGCAGAAAGTTTTCGAAAGCTGACAGGGCAACATCAATACATCGACTGAAAAGAAAAAAAAAGATGTATTTACCTTCGAGTTGTCTGTCTAGCAAATGCATGACTGACCCTATAAATCTTTTTTTTTCTATTTCTCCCTCTCTTTTCTTTCTTTTTGTCTTTCTGTTATACTGTTTTCCTTATTATTACTTAATGCTACCCCTTTCTTTGTTTTTCTTTCTTTATAATTTTCTTTTCTTCTTTCTTTTCTTCGTCTTTCCCTCTCTTTATTTCTTTCTCACTGTTTTTATATATATAGCGAAGCTCTCAAAGCTCGAGGTAAAGCGCCGAGTGTCCTTGAAAATTTTGGTTCCGCATCTGCATGTTTCACTGCAAATGTCGTCTAAAAGGCGATAGTCTTGCGCCTCAAGAAAGTGAACAAAACTTTTATTTGATGTTCTGCGCAAGAAAATCGGTGAACGCGATTCTGGAGGCAGTGCCTCGATGCGCCCAGTGGAGGTGAACGAGCGCATCGAGGCACTCGGCGGTGTGAGACATGATATCCGTCAAGCAGTTACATTGGAAAACGAAAGAATGGCCTCTGATATACAAAAAACCTCCACGCATTTGCTTATCACGTGTCATTACTTACCAGCCGCGCCCACCGACGGAGACAGCCTGTGTATACCCACCGCTCAGAGTTGGCCCACAACGCGAACCAAATGCGAGCAACGAAAGGCCTGTTTTCTTTTACCAATAATGCCGTAGCCGATAATAATAATATCTGGGGTCTTACCGCCCCGCCGCGGTGGTCTAGTGGCTAAGGTACTCGGCACTGACCCGCAGGTCGCGGGATCGAGTTCCAGCTGCGGCTGCTGCATTTCCGACGAAGGCGGAAATGTAGGCCCGTTTGCTTAGATTTGGGCGCACGCTAAAGAACCCCACGTGGTCGAAATTTCCGGAGCCCTCTGCTACGGCGTTTGTAATAATCATATGTTGGTTTTGAGACGTTAAATTCCACATATCAATCTGTCATCAATCTGGGGTCTTACGTCCCGCGACCACGAGATGATCATGAGAGACGCCGTAGTGGAGGGCTCCGGAAATTTCGATCATCTAGTGTTCTTTAACGGGCACTGACGTCACACAGTGCATGGTCCTCTACCACTCTGCCGTCATCGGAATGCGGCTGTCACGGCCGGGGTCGAAGCCGAGCACCCCATGTTTCACAGAGGCGGACAAGGGTCCTCTGTCGGACTGCACTGGCTGGCTCCTCAGGATCTCAATAAGGAGGAAAAGGAACGTTTAAGCGGAAGAACAGGGAGGTTAGCTAGTTCTTAGACCGGCTGGCTACCCTGTGCTGGGGAAAGGGGTGAGGGGAATAAGAGATGATAAAAAGAAATAGTTCCTTATCTGCCTGTCTGCCTTGCAGCTTACTTCATTTTAGACGAAGTACCAAAGCGATTGTAATGTGCACTTGCATACCTCGTTCCCGTGCATGTTCGCGACGTATTTCATGGAGGGCTTCAGCAGTTTGCCATTCGTCGAACGCGACGACAGCATGAGAACCCACAGCTCTCGACCTGCAAGAACGCAAAGACAAAAGTTCGAGAAACAAGAGGTTACTTCAGGGGCTTGAAAAGTTACGGTTAAGTAATAGTACCATTGTAAAGTAAAAACTCAAGTTAGACTTGTGCTCCACAACCCTACCACTGGCTGCTATTTTCAATGCAGGGGATCCGTAACTGGCATTTAATCACCCTGTACCTGTATTTATCAATGTACGTTCATCGCTTAGATTATTTATTTATTTATTTATTTATTTATTTATTTATTTATTTATTTATTCACCTATTTATTTATTTATTTACAGAATACTGTAAGCTCAAATCACAGCCCATGCATGAGTGGGAACAAGCACTTGTACAAAAAAATCATAGTCAATCAGTAGTCAATACGCGCATTATACACACGAAATTAATACACTCATGCCAACAATAACACATAGCAATTTATATTCAACACCATTTTCCCCACATAAATCAGTAACAATTCACTGCCAGAAGAAGTAAATGTACACAAATACATACTCGCAATATAAGACATGGCACAGCAATAGGAGTATTATTACGTTAACACATTCGTGTAAACGGCTGGGATTACTAGTGCATGTACTTCCTGTACATACGAACCAAAAAAAAGTATAGTGCTTAGAGTTATGATGTGATGAAGTCGAATTACTCAATGTGTTGTAGCGACTCAAACGGCAGGGCGTTCCATTCTGCAATGGTACGAGGAAAAAAAGAGAACTTGAATGTGTTGGTACGTGTCTGGAATGGTGTTATCGACGCAGCATGACGATTTGTTGTTTCTCGTGACGTCAGTGGCTGGATAAACCTAGAGGCATCTAGTGCGGAATGTTTGTTTTTTAAATTAAAAATAAATTTTTATCTCAAAATTTTGCGACGAAGCTAGAGTTCTTGCATATTGTTTTCTTTCATGATAGCTGTGGGGGAGTCCGTCATAGTATTTAGAAAATATAAACCTAATGCATTTACGTTGAATCATTTCTATTGCATGAACGTTTTTTCTAGTGTACGGGTCCCAAATGACGTACGCATATTCGAGAGTAGGTCTAATGTTGGTATTATAGGCTAACAGCTTCGCAGATGGCGGGGCAAGACGAAGTTTGTACTTGAGAAAGCATAGCTTACGGAAGGCGAATGCGCAAATGTACGATACATGCTTATTCCAATTTAGATTTTTGGTTATTGTTACACCAAGGTAGCTATATTCGCTGAACTCTTTGAGTATGTGAGTTTGTTGCGCATATGGAAAAGAAGAAAAGTTTTTCTTTTTGTTGGTCACTTGACTTATGGTGATAGTAGTTGTTGATGGCCGGGGTAAAAGATCGCATGACTTCATCACGTCCTGTTACTGATACCTGGGTACATTATTCTGTGCATTCGTCGCATAGGCCAGAACTAAAATTCGCTAGGAACCAAAAATGTTTTTGTCCTCCACCCTTACATGTTTTGTCGCGAAAGAAGCGAAATTGAATTGGATAGATTAAAATGTAATGACAGACCACGCTTTATTCATCGCTTTGAGAGCTGCAAGCCCTCAAAGCGTTACAGTGTTGTCTTTAAAAGCACCCGGACTGTTTGAAAGTGTCACGCCATGGTGTTCTAGTAACTGTGGTGCTCGAGTGGTGACCTTAAGATCGCGGTATTTTATGACTGAATGATTGACTGATCGAGGCGAAAAAGCTTGAGGCACATGTACATAGGTTTAGGCCAGAGGTAAAGAACCCCAGGTGGTCAACACTTCCGGAGCCCTTAACTATGGCGTCCCCCACAATCATCTTATAGCTTTGGGATATTAAATGCCGACAATTACCATTACTATCACTTACTGCAAAAACCGCATTGCGGTGCCATGCCATTCGGCGATTTCGTCGTCAAGTCACTGTAAATTTATACACCTTATCTGAATGCATTATTCCAGGCATCATTTGATGCCTCCTCCTAACGCCTGAAACATAAACCGAAATGATAGAACACCTGGGCTTGTTGGCAATATTTTAAACTATACGGCGAGAAGCTGCATAGGTCTAGAATTTCTATCCGTCGTGTGCAGTTACAAGCTGTACTTTAAAATAGGTCTCCGTGAGCCGTGTACACCTGTATACTAATCGTTCACAGTCAACTGAACTATGCATTGTAATTTTCGTGCCCCCTACCTTGTCTCGACTGTCCGACGGAGTAAAGTGTCGCCAGGTCCGGCCTGACGGACGTCGCGTTGATCAGCACTCCCGTCATATCCTCGTAGTTGTGGTACTTGAAGGGCACTCGCAGCCATTGGCTTCCTCCGTACGGGGCGGCCGACGCGCTAGAAGCCAGGCACGACAGCAGCACCACCGTCCCAAAGCATAGCGCAGACATGGGCAGCACGGCGACGGCTCGCCTCCCGCACCATAGTCGTAGTGACGCCATTGCACTGGGTACCGGGACTCTCTCGTGGTGCCGACGCTGTCGGCAAGAGTTCCTTGCCGATGTGTTTATCTCGGCAGCATGAGTCTGGCCGGTGGGCTCTTCTCGTCACGAAAGTTCCTGCAAATGGTAGGGAGATGAATTACGATGCTCGGAATAGAACAGAACAAAAATGAATAAAACATCTATTATTGTTTTGGTGGGAGCATTATAGTTTGCTCAATAAACGATATTGCCTATGGTGCCTACCCATGTCCATGTATTCGCGCCGGCCTCTCAGGTTGCAAAACCTGCGAGCACAATGCCACCAACTCCGTGAATATCTTCTCACGTGCATTACTTGCACTATATGCTACTCGATGTGTGATTCGTTTTCGTTTTTATTTTGAGCACTTATTTGCCTTTCGTCTTTTCTTTCTGAGGTGATTGTGACATCCTCGCTGCGTACATAGGTCCTCGACTGCTAACCCATCAAATCCCGGCTGCGGTGGCTGCATTTCCGATGGAGGCGGAAATGTTGTAGGCCCGTGTGCTTAAATTTGGGTGCACGATAAAGAACCTATTTCCAGAGCCCTCCACTACAGCGTCTATCATAATCCTATGGTGGTTTTGGGATGTTAAACCTCAACAATTATTATTAATATTGTTCCGAGAACGCTTATCTTCACTTTCTCACATCCCCTTCTTATTTCATTATTGCCCCTTAGGCGGACTGCAGAGTTAAAAAAATACAGGTTCCGGTGTTTAAAGTAGCTGGTACCCGTTTTTATTCCAAACACTGAAAGACACTCAGATATGCTTGGCTACACTTCTTCGGACTGCCCATGACAAGGTTGAGAGTCTCCCGCTTATAACGCGTTCCAATTCACGCTTATCTCTTAAAAGGAACAACGAAAGTGACAACAAATATGCGTGAGCGCTCATTCATGAGTAGGATGATCTGATTATGTAAGACCTGAACTGTATTCGTAGGGCTACTCAAATATAGAAAATTTTCTATCTTAACAATATTGAACGCGAGTCAGTTGGTACGTGTTAACAACAGTTGAAAACCACGTAAAAAACGAAGACGAGACATCACACAAGATCGGCACTGGTCCTGCGTGAACTCTTGTCCATGTCTACCTCGCGCTGTTTCTAATATGAAATATTTTGTAGTGAACGGGATACAAAATGTCTAAATGCACCGAATTCAGCGTCTATATAGCAACGTGCATTTAATGTCGAATGTTTTATTTTGGACTCCGAAAAAATTATGTTGAGAAACTTGAGCGAAGAAAGACTATGAAGCCGCAAACTGGTTATAAGCTTTATCTGCTGTGTTGGAAGAAGCCGCAAATTATTGCCGGGCAATCACGACGATTTAATATTTCGACGAAGGCATAGCCAAGTAAAACTAAAATTATTGGATTTGCCACAGTGAAGAGACACAGCAACCACTGCACTTTTGTCTGCCCTCCAGCGGCGATTGCCTGTGTATTCCTTCGAGCTTTGAAAACATCGCACAACTTAAAACGCACTCCGTTTCTTTTTTTTTTCATATTTACTGTTTTCATCCGGTATGCTGTTTTTCAACGCGATATCGTGCGCAGAAGCAAACACAAGTTATAAAGTGAAATTCGGTAAAATAAATTGCGCGAAGCTACCGCTGTATGGGAATCGTACGTCGCGCCAGAGAACAGGGCAAGACGGCACCGCCTTAATGACCTCCGTAAATGGAAAGCTGGGACACTTATCCACAGCAGCTGTACAAGGCCGCGCTGACCTCCACTACGGCGTCTCTCATAATCATAAGGTGGTTTTGGGACGTTAAACCCCACAAATCAATCAAGGTCGCGCTGAGCAATCTCATCGGAGCCAACGCGAATCGTGACGACACCGCAAGCAAAGCTTTCTCGTCAACCCTTCGCGCATGCTCAATCCATCCGCTTCGCTCAATCAAAGCCTGAACAAAACGATTGCGGAAATCGGTTAAGTACAAGTAAGCAAGATCCTTCATATTCAAGCGATGCTATCACGCGTTTATTATCGAAAGTGCAATGAAAACTGCACAGAAGAGTGGAGCATTGCACTATTATTTATAGGCGCCACTCAGGCGACTACGCCACTACCGCAGAATGTTTTATGTAGAACAACCACTGGCGCCGTCTCGCCCTATAGGTAAACGTGGTCTCGAGGCCATTGAGTCCAGTGAGATTTGATATCATCGCTCCGTATGGGGCTCTTTGTCCTCGCCGTAGGATTTCTGCACGAGCTTTGACTCGAAATGCACCTGTTATTCAGTACGCGTTTGCGATATAAAGAGCCGACGCTACCATCTTCCAGAATGCATTACGTATACACAAGCGAAACGGCATAATTTTCGCATTAACGCAACGAAATCGAGCGCTGACTGCTCGAACTTCGCTGTTTATGGGAGTAAGGGCGTTCCACTCTTGTGAATGCACGCGGCAAGACCAGCGGCGCCCTGTCGCTAGTCTATTTTTCTAGCAGTGCGTCCTCCTACTTTGTGTGCACGTGCTTCCCAGCAGGGGGCGCTTTAGTATATGCTCCCACAAAGGCCCATTCACGAACTATCGTACCATCTGCGCTGAACGTAGCCTTCGGGTGTCACTGTGCAGCGATGGTGTATAAATCAGCATCGGTGTTCTCAAAACGATCTTCCTTTTTCTCCCTGTTTCTTTTCGTCTGTCTTGCTTTATTTAATGGGACATTTTCATACCCCGCATCGACGGGCTAACTATTCCTTCCATACGCCACATTCAGCACTGTAGTTTATTTCTTCTTTATTGCTTTCGGGTGCTCCTGTCGACTACGTATATGGAGGTTGCATTTGATGGTCAAGAATGCAGAAGTCTTTACCGAACGAATATAAGTCCCCAGCCCAAAGTTCCAAGCCACAGGGCTAGCGTTATGTTTTCACCCGTCCGCGCTTTGGTGGGAACTAGCACTGATCATTCATTAAAACAAAATAGGTATTTCGACCTCACTACTGGAGTCTCGTTCACAAACAATTGTTTGTGCCGCGGATTTCATTGCCCGTGCTCTATTTTAGTTGCACCATTTTAGCCATGGATGCGTATACCAACTGGTTCTCATTCAGATGCTAGGGAGCCCGCAGGTATTTTCCTATGCCGCCCCATTTCCCCCCCCCCCCCCTTCTCTACCTGTTCTATGGGCACGTTCCATGTTCGTAAACAGCGCTAGGCAGCGTCGACATACTGAGGCCCTTGTAGCGACGTCGCTACAAGCGCCTCAGTATGTCGACGGCCCCTGCCGCTGCTAACAACCTTGAAATATTTATATCATCATCATCATCATCATCATCATCATCATCATCATTATATTATTATTATTATTATTATTATTATTATTATTATTATTATTATTATTATTATTATTATTATTATTATTATTATTATTATTATTATTATTATCAGGCTGGCTACGTCCACTGCAGGACAAAGGCCTCTCCCACGTTCCGCCAGTCAACTTGGTCCTGTGCTTGCTGCTGCCAATGTATACCCGCAAACCTCTTAATCTCATCAGCCCATCTAACCTCCTGTCTCCCCTTAACCCGCTTGCCTTCTCTAGGAATCCAGTTAGTTACCCTTAATGACCAGCGGTTATCCTGTCTACGTAACCAGTGCACAGTACATGAAATGTGGCAGAACTGTACAGCAGCTAGCTCTGGTCAGCAACGCCGCAGCACTGAAAAAAAAATACTATGTTGTCACTATGTACTTGGAAATAAATTGAATAAAACAAAAGCAAGAAACGGACAATGCAAAGCAGCTTAGACACCTGAATATAGGAAAGGCCAGCATACAGGCCTTGCTGGGCTGTCTTTTGGCTCTGACACTTCTTACGTTGCGAGATCTGCAGCACCTAAATGGCCACGGCCCTGCACGTTGCGAATGTGTCCGTGTCGTACATGCTATCTTACTCAGGAACTGTATACGATTTCGCAGTGACATGAAGACGCCCGTCGATATGCACCACGTTAAAAAAGGCCGATACAATATCTAGACAAGTTTGTTGCTGAAAACACACAGGCAACTTACGCTTCCAGGTATTTTTATATTCTGGGCACACAGCCGTATCGCTGTAACAGAACCCTTAAAGGTGCTGTCGTTGCTCTCTGTTCAAGTTTGGTGACCGCTAGTAATCTTTCTTCGGTGAGTACGTCTCTCATCATATACCTTGTAGAACGACAAGTATTCAGGTCCTGGGAAATTTATAGTTACATTGCTGAAAAAACTACCATGTTATGACTGATAGCACAGAGATTTGTACGTGTAATGCTAGCACTTTACTAGCTGTCTTCCGTCACGACTATCAGCTACCTATTTTCTGTGAATTTTATGTACACACCTTGTTCACTCAAGTGAGGAGCAAACACGATAACCGTGAATAATTCCCGCAGGGCAAAAAATTCATCCTTTCCCCTCTCCTCGCTTTCCCTTCTCCGCGTGGCAGAGAAGCATGCTAACAACGTGAAATGGGCGCGAAAGAAGTCGAGTACGAATACAAGACAGTCCATCTTCCCTTGTGCTAGTTTCGCTTCATTAGAATGTGAGACAAATGAACGAAACAGCCCACTGCTAAAAGGTGCGCGGAAGTTCCTGTCCATCACTGCGCGTATCTGCAATGCATGAGCAAGTCCTTCCGGTATAGTATAAGATGGCCGAGCCGAGTGGCCAACATTCGCGCTTATGTGTTCCCATTGGTCGTGCGTAACATTGTTTATGCTCGACTGAGCGTGCCACGCTGCGGTGGCACGCTCATCTCGAAAAGTGGCCCCATTCGGTTCTCTCGAGTCACCGAAGCGCCTCTTAAGTTTGGTGAATGGGCGAGCATTCGCCGCTTCTGGAGGCAGAGAATTGTTGCCTCCAGGTATATCCACCACTGATTAGGTACAAACATGCTTCCATCTTGTGCTTCGTAGGACAAACTATACATATTCACTGGAAAGGGCACACATCTCCCCCCGCCGCGGTGGTCTAGTGGCTAAGGTATTCGGCTGCAGACCCGCAGGGCGCGGGTTCGAATCCCGGCTGCGGCGGCTGCATTTCTGATGGAGGCGGAAATATTGTCGGCCCGTGTGCTCAGATTTAAGT